ACACAAAGACGGCGACAAATGAGCCAATTATTATTGGGGTAGCTACAATTAGAAATAATGTCAAATAATATAAAATACAAATGTGTACCTTGTGCATTCAGCACAATGAGAGCATTCGTAATATATTGCCAATAATCCATTACCTCATACGAATTAGCTAATTACGTCAGCTTCCCTATTCTAAATTTCCTCTGGGCTGCTTTAGTGATTTGATACAGTTTACCAGACCACATTCGATAGCCTGAAGAGTCTATGATCTTCCTGCTTCGATTTTTCGTCAAAGAGGAAGGCATCCTAAGGAGTTGTCACCATAATCTTACTAAAATAATAAGCAACAAGAACGCTTATGGCTGGGCTATTCACAGGCTCTCGTTTTTTCCTTTTGGTTTTCACTCCTTAAATTTAAAAATCGCAAGAGCTGCCTTTCCGGAAGTCAAGTGAACAAACTTTTCTTCAGAGCGACTCAAAAGGGATGTTAAATAAACGGCTACCATACTGACGTCATAATTCAAACTATCAATGATTTCTGAAAGATGTTTATCGTCTTATCTCGAGCGTGGGACAAATATAAATTCTGAGTACCATGAGGAATCCAAACTCAGAACGCTTTCCAAAATATTTTGCGTTTTTAAAAAATAGCACTTTCCGACAAAAATGGGCTTTTTAAGGGTAATTGAGAGCTAGTTTCCGCAAAAAACTGCCTTTTTCTATCGACCTAGTAAAATTAAGGCACAAAAGTAGTAGCATTTTTGTGAAAACACATGGAATCCATGATTTATTGCGGAAGGACTTTTATTGCAAAACTTACGGATACTTAAATAGTGGCTTGGAAAAAATGCAAAGTTTGAGTTTCATTGCGGACTGTTAAGTTTACACGAATTATACTGATAAAATTTCTCCTTATTTCGCTGACATAAAAAATAAATCCCTCAGTTGTATACATATAAGTCGGATGGACAATCATAGGAGCTTCTACATCCTTTATTTTGCTAGAAATGTTTCTGAAAGGCAGAAAAACGCAACTATTCGGAGGCATGTCTGCCACTGTTAAAACAAAGACAGTAGAAAATGAGATTACACAACTTACTTAACAAGACAACTAGCCATTGCATTCAAAAAAATAATCACAAATAATGTATTTCTCAAATTGCTTTCTCAAAATGTCCCAAGCTGCAAAAATTCTGCAGCCCAAGATGCTACAGAAATTCTGCAGCCTGAAATACCCTTCGCCGCAGAAATTCTGCAGCCCTAGATGTCCAATGCTGCAGAAATTCTGCAGTCCCAGATGCCCCATGCCGCAGAAATTCTGCAGCCTGAGATACCCACACCGCAGAAATTCTGCAGCCCTAGATGTCCCATGCTGCAGAAATTCTGCAGTCCCAGATGCCCCATGCCGCAGAAACTCTGCAGCCTGAAATACCCCACGCCACAGAAATTCTGCAGCCCTAGATGTTCCATGCTACAGAAATTCTGCAGCCCCAGATGCCCCACGCCGCAGAAATTCTGCAGCCTGAAATACCCCACGCCGCAGAAATTCTGCAGCCCTAGATGTTCCATGCTGCAGAAATTCTGCTGCCCAAGATGTTCAATGCTGCAGAAATTCTGCAGCCCTAGATGTTCCATGCTGCAGAAATTCTGCTGCCCAAGATGTTCAATGCTGCAGAAATTCTGCAGCCCAAGATGTTCCATGCTGCAGAAATTCAATCAATTGTGCAAAAGAAAAATCTACACTGAGTGTTAAGTCGGGCAACCCCACGGTATTGTATAGCATAGTGGTGGATTTTACAAAGATAATTATTCCATTTTTTCCCCTAAAAATTCCAGGTCTTTTTAATTGGCCCCCTTTTTTTTTTCCAAGCTAACTAATGAAATTTTGTGTATAGAGAGAGACTATTAACCCTTCCCAAAATGGCAGCCACAAAATTAAAGGGTCCATTCATAACATTTCCAGATTTGAATATCATAAATTGTCACTATTTTATGCTTAAATACTGTGAAGATTCCCAACTTTTAATTTAACAGCTTCACAGGAGGGTAGAAACTCTTGTCTGTAAGCTTACTAGTTCGCATTCTGATGCAGTGCTTAGCCACACTGCAATTCGACCTTTCTTTAAGGCTGCCACTGTAGCATATCCTGTTTTGCTGCAAACATCCACTAGTGTTCCATTCCCTTGACAGCTTCTTCACAAGCCAAGTGTAGGCTCCAACAGGTAGTGGTTTCATACTGCTACACTGTGAGGCCACAGGTTCTACAAATATCAAATTTTCGTTGTTTGTAAGAGAGCAATGTCTA